TTCGCCAACACCCGCTATACCTCCATCGTCAGGTATAACTGAAGCCTAAGAGGAAGCAGAAGAAGTGAAGGTGCTGTCAGGCGAGTGGAGACGAAGTACTTTGCGTCCTAAGTGAAAATCCATATTTTAGTAGAGGTCGGAAGAGGTAGGATAGAGTTGCGTTATGATGGATTGGCTTGTCAAACTCGTATGCTTGCATGCGCCCCTAGGGCCCTAGCCAAGAGCATGAGCTTAAGATGTCTCCACATTAGTCATGCTTTTCAGTTCATGCATGCACCATGGATGACTCATGAAAGAACTATTATCAACTGCCCAAGATGTGCCACTAAGTTTCAGACTATTGATTTTGCCCGCCATTTTCCCAGGAATGAAAAAAAAGAGAGGAAATGAAACATGCTCTGAAGTCGTCAGATGCTAAAAGAGCAGCACTGGAAATACATGTGTTTATTTATGTCATCATGCACGAGGGAAGGGCGAGGTTATCGACCCTGGGGAGATCAAGCAGAGGCACAGGAACGCAAATGGATCAGGAAGCACTGCTCCGCTTTGTCTCAAATACTCTGTTCCCTAGGCTTCACAGGAAAGATCTCCTTTAGGCTCATCTACTTGGTACCATGTATGTCACCGCGTGCTTTGGACACCATGACACGGTAGTCCTGCCCTTATCAAAGAGGATGAAGATGTAGTTGAAAAATTGATTCAGGCAAAAGTGCTGGCGCGAACAATAAGGAAGTTTGTACTTGTACTGGCTTTGCTGTTACTTATTTGTTTAGATAGTGTCTAAATTGCGTAAAGAGAATTGGAATCCACTGCAAGACCTCGAAATGCATATGCGATTGTGTTATCTAACAACTACCACAGATAATTAGGTCAGTCTATGAAAATGTATTGTTTGAGTTCTCTAGCTGTTCCATGATTTCAAAGTTGCTGAACATCACGATTTGAACAAAGGAAAATATACCTGCAACGACAAAACTCTTTGTTTAGAATCCCATAGAAAACAACGATGACATCGCAGCTTTGAAACTGATTCAAACAATCTTAGAGGAGACGGCTTTTTCTTAAGTGAGCAGTAAATTAGTGAGAACCTTAGCAGGACCTCGAATACCTCTGTTTTGCAGCGTTTGGTTACTAAAATGATCCGGTCATTGATGACGCTTATAACATCACCAAATACTCTTTTCGTATGGCTACGATCTTGATGTGCGACAATGCTGGGAACGGCTTTCTGTGAGGACATTTAATTTCGTTTAATGAGAAGTGATGAGAGAAGAACTCCTGAAAATGTAAAGGTAACTGACGGCAAGATATAAGAATCACACTGCAACTGTTCAGACTTGCATCCCACATTTCGACATTTATTTTATAGCGACTGTTGATATTCTCACATTCCACAATGTTTTTGAGTCAGTATTTCCCGAAAGCCGAGCACAAAAAGTTTTATGCGCCTTCCACTTTAGCCAAGTATTTCTGCGAAAGCATAAGAGCTGTTATTAGTAAGTCCTGTACTGCTTGTAAGAATGCCATTTTGCTTATCAGCTTTTTTCATAGTTTCCTGTTGTTCGCATTGCGCAACGTCTATTCATGCACTTCTCGGGGAGGTGGATTCCCAAAGGTTTGAGGAAAATTTCCATATTTCCATATTTCATGGATTATCTCCATACAGGCTACAGAGATGGTTACCGTGAGTCCCTTTAGAGTTAGTATCTGTATCTGGCAACAGTCTTCTTTTAGTATGTTGAAAGGAATTATTCTCACATTACAGACCTACGTACCGTTTAAGACGACAAACCACGCCGAATCCTGGTATAATAAAATGAAGCATATTTTGCTCCGAAGCAGGCAAAATAACAGGCTTTGTGCTTATGCGTACTCTAATCAAAATTAGCAGGATCACAATCTACAGCTGATATCTGCCGTGAGTTCCACAGAGCTTTGGCACATTCTATAGGCGTAACTGACTTTACGGGTTTTATAGAGCGTTAGGAAGACTCTGATCTCTCGGGACGACGGAAGAAAAATACACGTCGACACAAGGACGCACCTGCATCCCTTATTATAGTTATGGAACTATTCGTTTAGGACCATTGAGCATGCAGATGCACGCTGCTGGATCGTTCGCGGGCCGCGAAGAGGGGCATATTTCAAGTTACCACAGACGATATTACTTGCACTGCGATGGTGAGGTGAGCCAACTTTACCTTGTGACTATCCTTATGAAAAATCGTCTTAGATGAATTCGCGTAGGAACGATGCAGCGTTTGTTTTTACATTGTTCATTGCAACTGTTGCGATGCGTCGCAAGCAAATGTATCCTGCATGCCCATGTTGTGAGAACCTCAATAGGTGGGTTTTGAAATCTGAGCTCAATTGGAAAGAATTTGGTTTCAGCTCGCTCACAGCCTCCAAGGCAACATCTATCCCTTATCAGTTGTAGGAGAACAGTTCAGAAAGATCAACAACAACGTTGCAATAATGCTGTAGCGG